GGTACCACTGCCATCGACATTGGAGTGAGATATGGATACCATAGGCTGCCGGCCAGGTCTGAGTTAGGTAGTTGAGAGTGAGGTCTTGGTTACTGGGGTGGGGGGCTGTAGGAGGTCTAGGTCCCTTGGGGCGGGGGGCGCCTGTAGGGAAGTTCTAAGGTTACCAGGACCCCCGCGTCCCCCCGTCGGGGGGGGGGCCGGTGCTGTACGGGATCTAGGTTACAGGGGCGTGGGGGAGTATAAGAGTTAAACCGAAGGGGGGGGGGTCTGTGTAGGGGAGGTCTAGGTTACTGGGCTTGTGCGTGGGTGTAGAGGTCGACGGCGTCTGGGATGTAAGAGAGGTCTAAAGTCGTTACTGGGCTGTGGTTCGTGCGGCGGCCGTGCCTTTTAGGAGCGTCTAAGTACGTTATAACGGGGTTGGGGGCCGGCCCTATGTTAATCGCGCGTAAGGTAAGTGTATTAAATCAATCGTCAGTGTGTGAGATTTATCACCCTTATTATCCAGCTCCTCAACCATAACAGTGACGGGCAGCTCCAATGAAACTGCTTCTATTACACCGCGTAGGAAAACATGCAATGTATACCGGCCGTATCATATCACCAATTATAAAGATCTATAATTTAACTATATATACACTCCTTGATTATTCACCCCCTCCCCCCCCCCCCCCCCCCCGCGCGCCCGCCGCCCCCCCAAAAGGCATCTGTAGGGAGGTTCTAGGTTACCGGGGGTTGGGGTCGGGTGTTGGGAGGTCTAGGTTAACCGGGGTTGGGGCCGGTGTAGGGAGAGGTCTAAGGTTACCAAAAGGAACAGGTGGGGGGGGCGGTTGTAAGGCGCTGAGGTCTTAGGTTCCAGGGTGTGTTGGGTTGAGTGCGCGTTAGCGCTGGAAGGTTATTGGATTACACGGAATTAAGAACGTTTGAATCAAATCGGCAGTCCAACCAGAGAATAGTAAAGTAGAGGCAAGAAGATCTCAAACGCTGCGTACATACGCTTTAGACCGTCCGCGTCAGACGCGGGTCTGCCTGGCGGTAGCAATCCATCCTGTAGTAGGTGGAGACTCGTACGCGTCTCTATGTCGATTTGTTTAATTCAACCGGCCAGGCAAGCTGCTGCGAGGAAAAGGAGAAACGCAGGTCTCGTCACCAACAGTAAATGAGTATATAAATAAGGCAGAGAGAAGTTAATATGATAATGTAGGAAGGATATTAAGATATTGAATAAAGTTATCCAGTGGAGGGGTGGGGGGCGGCAGGGGGCGGTTGTAGGGAGGTCTAGTTACCGGGGTGGGGGTCGGTGTAGGGAGGTTCTAGGTTACCGGGGTGGGGGCGGTGTAGGGAGCGTCTAGTTACGGTGGTGGGGGGCGGTTTGTAGGTAGTAGGGAGCGTTCTACGGTTACCATGGGGTGGAGGGCGGGTGGCGGGGAGGTCTGGTCCTTGGGGGTGGGGGGGGGGCGGCTGTAGGGAGGTTTCTAGGTTACCAGGGGTGGGGGGGGGCGGTGGTAGGGAGGTCTAGGTTACCGGGGTGGGGGCGGTGTAGGGGAGGTCTAGGTTAACAGGGGTGGAGGCGGGTGGCGGAGGGTCTAGCGTCCTTGGGGGTGGGGGGGGCGGTGTAGGGAGGTCTTAGGTTACCAGGGAGTGGGGGGGGGCGTGTAGGGAGGTCTTAGGTTACCGGTGTGGGGGCCGTGTAGGGAGGTCTAGGTTAACCTTACCAGGGGTGGGAGGTGCGGTGTAGGGAGGTCTAGGTACCTTGGGCGGGTGGGGCGGCGTGTTAGGGAGTTCTAGGTTTACCGGGTGGGGGAGGGGCGGTTAGGGAGTTCTAGGTTACCGGGGGGGGGGGTGTAGGGGGTCTAGGTTACCGGAGGGGGGGGGTCTGTGTCAGGGAGGTCTAGGTTACTGGGGTGGAGCTGAGTGTAGAGAGGGTCTAGGTTACTGGGGGTGGGGCCGGTGTAGGGGAGATCTAGTTACCGGGGTTTCGGGTTTGGGCGTTGTAGGGAGGTCTAGGTTACAGGTGTGTGGGGGGGTGGGGCGGTGTAGGGAGATCTAGGTTACCAGGGGTCGGGGGGCGGGTTCTGTATGGGAGGTCCTAGGTTACTGGGCGGTGGGGCGGTGTAGGGAGGTCTAGGCTACCGGGGGTGGAGCTGGTGTAGGGAGGTCTAGGTTACCAGGGTGGGGGCGGCTGTAGGGAGGTCTTAGGTTACAGGGGTGGGGGCCGGTGTAGGAGGTCTAGGTTACCAGGGGTGGGCGGGGGCGGTGACTGTAAAGGAGGTCTTATTTTTTTTTGGTTACCAGGGTGGAGGGCGGTGTAGGCGAGTCTAGGTTACAGGGTGGGGGGGGGGCGGTGTAGGGAGGTCTAGGTTACCAGGGGATGGGGGTCTCGGTGTAGGGAGGTCTAGGTTACCAGGTAGGTACGTCTGCGGGGTGGGAGGGCGGTTGTAGGGAGTCTAGGTTACCAGGGAGTGGGGGGACGGGGGCGGGTATTTGTAGGGAGTTCTAGCGGTTACCAGGTGGTGGGGGGGCCGGTGTAGGAGGGTCTAGCGCTTTACCAGGTGCTTGGAGGGGCGGGTGTAGGGAGGGTTAGTACCAGGGGTGGGGGGGTGTAGTGAGAGGTCTAGATTTACCAGGGGTGGGGGCCGGCTGGTAGGAGGTCTAGGTTAGCCAGGGGTGGACGGCGGATGTAAGTTGAGGCTAGGTTACCATGTGGGTGTGTGTATGTGCCTGCCTGCGTGCGTGCGTGCATGTGTGCGTGCGCATGTGTGCATGTACGTGTATACGTGTGCGCACGTGCGTGTGCGCATACGTGTCTGCGTATGTGACACTAAGCACGTAGCCATAGCCTAGGTGTGTAATAAATATAGGCGCAACTAATGGCTCTAGTAGCACTCGAGCAGTCATTACGCAACTCGAATATGGACGATAATGAGGTATCCCTGAAGGCAACCACTGCGGCGGTATCATCATAATGAAAATATATGGCTATCAGCGCATGCGAGAGCGTCAAATTAACGGTACGGACGTGTAATTCGTGCAATTAAAATAGCACCCGCCTGAGAGCCAAATGTATATATATATATAGCACACTTCATATTACCACGAATATTTCACATAATTTGGTATAATAATAAATTACGGCGTAGTGCAATTTGCGGAGACCAGGGGCGTAGATAGCGGGGGGATGGGGGGGATGCATCCCCCCCCACTTATTGACGTGGGGGGATGGCGTGTACAATCATCCCGCCCTACTTTCCGGAGGAAAATGGGGGACTCAACATTTTCTGGGGGAGGACCCGCATACCCCCGCATGTTTCTTACCACCTCCTCGAAATCCTGCATTGGCCACTGTCGAGCGTAACAAATTTAGCACCCCCACTTCAAAAATCGTTCTGCGGCGCCTGTAGAGTACTGCTAATTTAACAAAGATTATTGATTTAACAATTAACAATTTAACATTTAAATTTAAACTTAACTTTAATTTAACATTTAAATTTAACATTTAACAATTTTTATTGCTAATTTAACAAAGATTATTACAAACATAAATTAACAAAGATTATGATTATGAATATTTGTATGCATATCAAAAGTCAAATTTGAGTTCATCTGACAGAGGCCTAGATAGCAGGGGGATGGGGGTATATCCCCCTTTTTGCACACACTCACCACTTTCGACGAGCGGGTCTCGCGCCCTTCGGGGCTTCCTGGACTAGCGCCCCCTGGGAAGCTCTCCACCGATCCGACGTTCTCCGTGCTCTCGCTGTCGCTCCCCACGACCTCGCTGTTCTCCGTGCTGTCGGCATCGTCGTCCTCCCCGCCGCCGCCGTCGCTGCTGCTGTCGCCGGCGGCAACGACCTCATCGTCATCATCGTCGTCGTCGTCGTTGTCATCGTCGCTGCCGTGGTGGCTTTTGCTGAATGAGCGCGTGACAACCTGGTCCTTGGGCTCCAGCCGGGCTGGCGTCGCCTGCAGAGCGAGCAAGGGAACGGTGACCACACCAAACTAGTTACAGCCAAGGCACTTATAGCACCTGGTGTTGGCAGAAGACACCTCTATAGAACAGACGCCTGTGTGTAAAGGACACTTGGAGTTTTTTCGTTCAGTCGCATGTATACGGTGCAACCATCCCTTTATACCAGACCCCCTGTCTATTAAGGACGCTTGGCGGGATCCGCCGAGTCACACATAACGAACACCTGTCTATTAAGGACACTTGGGGTTTCCGATGAGGCAGACGTATACAGTGAAACGACCTCTACATAATGTATACCTGTCTATTAAGGACATTTGGGAGTTGCGCTAATTCGTATGTATACCATGAAACCACCTCTATATACTAGATACCTGTCTATTAAGGACACCTTTTGGGAGTTTCCCTTGAGTAATCCTTATATACAGGGTTGACTGTATATCAGCGAACTCTGGTGACTATGCTGCTAAGCAAAATAGCTCAACCTTGCTGAGGGGGAGGGGATATCAGGATAGCTCACCGTTGCTGAGGGGGAGGGGGAAAGCAGGATGGCGTACCATTGATGAGGAGGAGAGGAGAGGGGGAAGCAGAAAAGCTCACTGTTAGTGTTACTGAGGGGGAACAGGATAGCCTACCATAGCTGAAAGCAGGGAGAAGCAGGGCAGCTCACCATTGCTAAGGGGGAGAGGAAAGCAGGATAGCCTACAGTTGCTGAGGGAGAGGGGTAAGAAGGACAGCTCACTGCTGCCAAGGGGGAGCAGGATAGCCCAACCTAGCTGAGTGGGAGGGGAACGCAGCTCACCGTTGCCAAGGGGGGCAGCATAGCCCAACCTAGCTGAGTGGGAGGGGAACGTAGCTCACCATTGCCAAGGGGGCAAGATAGCCCAACCTAGCTGAGGTGGAGGGGAACGCAGCTCACCATTGCCAAGGAGGGCAGGATAGCCCAACCTAGCTGAGTGGGAGGGGAACGCAGCTCACCGTTGCCGAGGGGGAGCAGGATAGCCCAACCTAGCTGAGTGGGAGGGGAACGCAGCTCACCGTTGCCGAGGGGGACGGGGTGTCTCCGCTGGCCGGCACGTCTGTCGCGTGCGTGCGATGCGTGCTAGCGTGCGTGACGTGCGTGCGTGCGTGCGCAGCTGGTGCGGCGCGCGTCGCGTGCGCGGTCGTGCCGTAGGTGTCTGTATGTCTGTATTGTCCGTATTTGCGCAGTGCGTGGCGGCGCGTCGGTGTCATGCTCGTGAGGTGGTTGGGCAATAGTGTGTAAAGACAGCACTGCATGACGTGTGTGTGAACAGTACAGAGAGTGTTACGGTGGGCCCCGCCTCCCCTCTCAGCATTGATTGAGTTGAACGTGGAGGTCAATATAACTGCTCGCATACGCCTCACGTCCAGCGTGCCCGTGAGGCGCAACGCACCACGACAATGGCGGGCGCGGGGCGGCCAGTGCCGGCTGCAGCGGTGCTGCAGACGAAACGCGACGCACGGAGCGGTAGTAGCAGCAGCAGCAGCTAGCGAGCGACTGATTAAGCGAGCAGCACAGTCTAGCGCAGGCGACTGACTAGCAGAAAACAGCAAGTCAGTAGTAGCACGGCGCAGGCACTTGCTGTCTGCGGCGGCCGCACCGCCCCCGTACCGGCAAGCACGCCGCGGCCGTCACCGCCTCGAACCAGGAACGTATGACAACGAAGTGGGCAATGAATACGCAGCAAATCGGTCAGTGATGGGGTTGCGCGCGAGCTGACCAATTGCTAACTGGCTATTTAGAAGGAGAAAGACAGTTCAATTAGAAAAGAAGGTGCAAGTGAGTAACGCAGAGAGAAGAGAGGAAGCGCGAAAGAGAAAGAGATGAAGTGAGGTGAGGAAGAGGAAGGATGGGATGAAGTGACAGAGACAGACAGGCAAGTAGTGCATGCATGCCAGGCAGTAGACGGACAGACAGCAGATAGACAGGCAGCAGCATGCATGCAGGCAGGATTAACTGACAGAGAGGCAGGCAGGAGCAAGCGCAGTCAGATAGACAGGCAAGCAGGCAGACAGATAGGACAGGCAGCAGGCAGACAAGCAGACATTTGACCAGACAATGGAGACAGATGAGAAGAGGATTCAGCAGCGTTCAAACAGCAAGTAGGTTGAAGTGTTATTAAGCGTAAGCTGGTGGCGACAGTGGTTGGCAGAGGATAAGGATTAATATAAGTAGGGCTTGATGTCACATGTACTGATAGTACTAACCATTATCCCGCCCCCCCCATCCACCACCCTACACTACACTACCATATGTTTGCATGATAGTAAAGATTGTTGTCCGTACCGTCGGCCGTAAGATCAGTATAAATCTCGAAACGCTGTTCGTCCTCGGGTCGTTTTTCTTTATAAATTTTTTTATATTTTAACTTTGGTGTGAATAAGGGAACTCTGTGGAAAACAATTGTATCTGCGTGAAGTAATTAACCGTCATTAACCTACAATAGCCTTGCATAAATTCGTAAAATTTGTCTGCTTCTCCATATTTGGCTCAAACATGTGCTCCTCTCTTCTCTCTTCTCTCTCTCTCTCTCTCTATCTCTCACCTCTCTCTCTTCTCCTCTCTGCTCTCTGCTCTCTCGTCTTCTCTCGTCTCTCTTCTTCGTCTTCTCGTCTCTCGTTCTTCTCTCTTCTCTCTCTCTCTCTGCTTCTATCTCTCACTCTTCTTCTATCTCTCTCTTCAATCGCATCTCTTCTCTCTCTTCTCTCTCTCTCGTCTCTCTCTCTCTCTCTCTGCTCTCATCCTCTCTCTTCTTTCTTCTCTCTCTCGCACTTCTCTCTCTCTCTTATTCTCACTCTCCTCGTCTTCTCCTTCTCCTTCTTCTCTCCTCTCTCTCTCTCTCTCCTCTCTATCAC